CACACACGCACACGCACAGACACACAGACACACACACACACAGAGACACACACACACACACCGACACCGAGACACACACACACACACCCCGACACCGAGACACACACACACACGCACGCGCGCACACACACACACACACACCGACACCGAGACACACAAACACACACACACACACACACACACACACCCCCGCACACACACACACAACAGACACGGACACGGACACGGACACGGACACGGACACGGACACGGACACGGACACGGACAGAGACAGAGACAGAGACAGAGACAGAGACAGAGACACAGACAGACTTCCCATATATGGTTGCGCCCCGTGGCCTTACCCTCCCTCCGATTTCTGTTCCCCCCCCCCCGTTTTGTGGAACGGAACATCCTTCCTTCTCCTGCGGCGCTGGGTCTGTGGTTCTTCTGCATCCATGCGCCCTTCCCCCCTCCCCCGCCACATGACTCACGTCATCTACAAGTATACACTGATCATGATGGTGTAACGGAACAGCCCGCTTCCGCGGCTCTGTGATTCTCCATCCGTGAGTGTGGTCCTGATGAGGAAGGAGAACCCCCGCTCCCTCCCTTGTGGAACAGGACTTGGTTTCCTTGTCTTCTGCCATACAACTAATCAGACGAGTTTTTGCTTAACACGCCTCTGAGCACAAGTAATCGTACTAAGGATTGCCTATAACCGTCTTAAAGTAATACTAATCATCCGAGATATTGCTTAGAAGCCCTCTGAGCACGAATAATCATACTAAGTTTTGAATCTAACCCCTTACACTGCTACTACTGCTGCTGCTACTGCTGCTGCTGCTACTACTACTACTGCTGCTGCCAACGACGACGACGACTACTACTACTACCACCACCACTAGTACTAATCATATTACGAAGTGACATAATCATTGTGAATATTGCCTATTAACCCTCTTGAGGTAGTACCAATCATACGAAACCTAGCTTGGAACCCCTCCGAACCCAAATAAGACAGGTAGCGCTTGTACGACTAATCAGAAAAAGCCATGAGTTGAACCCCGCCGTCCCAGGCCTTCGAGCGCGCACTACAACAGAGCCTCTGTCAATCCCGGAAAGCCCAGATAAACCTTATTGAAGCCCTTATAAAACCCTATATTAACTCTCTAAAACCCCCTATAGACCCTATGAAAAGCCGAAGAAACCTTGTACTCGCCCTCATAAACCCTGTACGGACCTTCTCTTACGGGGGTTCCTGTGGGCCCAGTGCTCTTGTCTTGTTGAACCTAAGGCTCCTGGCCCCTTCATTTGAGACCCATACCATACCATTGGGGGGGGGGGGAGGGGAGGCGGGCCGCAGAACGCACAGCGCACAACCATCTATCTATCTATCTATCTATCTATCTATATGTACATGTTTGTACACGCGCAAGAATACATATGCGCAGGAGTGCGTGCAACCATGCATGTGCACATTGTGCAGATTCGTCAGACGAGGTTTGCATTTGCATACATGCAAAACGTGCGAAGGTTCCACAATGTCCCCATGCATACTCCCCAGGTCCTGCGTTCAGAATCGGGTGTGTATCGGAAAATGGAGAAGCAACCTTTCCAAATGTCACTCTGCATGCCCACTTTGCAGGAGCGGCCTACCTCTCCTCGCAGCTTTATTTTTGCTTCTCGTTTGCCGAGGCCACGGGTTGAACCTTCGAGACTTCGAAGCTAAAGCACCCAAGTTGACATTCGAAGACAGGCAACTTCCCCAGGCCCTAGGCCGGCGTATACCTTTTTGTTGAAGGTACCTTCTGGTCCAGGCGGTCCAGGAGTGAATGATTCCCGCCCTGGCCATGAGGCGAAAGGTGGCCGTTTCGGCAGTGGCCCGCTGCCTTTCAGCTGCCCCTGGGCCCATTGATATCCATGTATCCTCATGACCACAGAAGAACCGAAGGCACATGGCAGCGCTGTTATCGTCCGAACTGAATGGCTACACTACCTCCACGCTGAGAATGCTGCTCATAATCAATTGGCTGTACACCAGCAAATCGTCCGCAGAAGCCAAGTGGTGACGGAACCCCTTGCTGAACGAGTTGTTTGCATGCCACCATCCCATCGTTGTCTATGACTTGTGTCTCAGCCTTCTGCTTCCGAACCTTGGAGGTTCCCCCATGTTCGCTGTTGTCAACAACATCTTCAGTGATGAGGTGCAGGCTTTTGTATCAGAGGATTGCCACGTTTTGTCTTGCAAATTCTGGGGACATGTAGACAGGCATCAGAGCCATCACCGGCCCAGTTCAATCCAGAATGTTATCTCATCTGTCTTGAAGAAAGCCTCATCGACCAGCTGTCGGAGGCCGTAGCCATGACTGGTAAGTTGATTTCATACCAGAGCACCGTCTCTCACAGAGCGCACAGGTGTTCAACTGGTTTCTCATGGCCAGCGGCGACCTGCGTTCAGCGGGTCACTTTGGAGTCCTTGCAGCCTGGCAGACTTTTGGGGCAGACTTAGCTCATATTTATGGATGTATAGATAGATTGTCTGTTTGTTTGTCTGGGATGTGATGTCTGTACGTGTGTGAGATGGATGGCTCCGGGTTTGCAAGTTCTAGTCACTTTGGTCAGAACAAGGATGCTTTCCTGGTTGCCTGTCTTTGTTCAGTGGGGGCTACGTAGGCACTCGTCACACCGAGGGGTGCAAAGAAGCCCAAAAGGGAAATGGATTGCTCAATATCCAACATCTGAGGAGTGGACGGGCCCCGTGTTCAAAGTGCACGAGCTCACCCATGAGGAGCTTTGCAAGTGGCTCGAATATCAATATGAGCATGCCTGTGTCCCAAAAGCAGTCCTCCCCGATTCTTCAGCGCATCACGACTTCCAAGGCTGCCTTTCAAGGTGCTGATGTTTGGCAGCACGGAGTACGACTCCAAGCACAGGCTCCTCGACCGGTTCATCAAGGAGGCCATGTAGTGACTCTGAATCCCAGGCTTTTCAGCTCTGCGTACCACCGGTATCTGAAAGGAAGCCTAGATTAGGCGCGCGACGGGCTGATGTAATCAAGCATTCATCTCGAAACACACAATGCGCAGCTTGCGACTTATGTCAATGTCCTTGCCACGCAGGTTCTATCTCTCTCTCTCTCTCTCTCTCCCTTCCTTCTTTCCTTCCTTCCATCCCCCTCGCTCTTGCTTCGTTTGCAACGGGGAAATCCCCTGGCCCGCAGGCCTACGCCCGAGCTCGTGCTGAGCTCTGTTCCCCCACATGAGAACACATCACCGCACTCGTCAATTTCTTGACACAGAAACCTCAGACATGAGGGGCAAAAAGACCAGGAGAGAGAGCGTCGCCGGGTGGGATGCGCCGGCTCGCAGTTTGCATCACGCTTTGGATGCCCTGTCGAAGGACTATCAGCACAAGAGGTTCATCCTTTTCTCAAACTTCCGAATTCGCCCGGAACTCGAGTCCAAGCTGAGACAGGCAGGGAGGGCCGGGCCTTACAGGACCCTAAAAGGGACCATAATTTAGAGAACTACCCTAAACCCTAAACCCTACATTAGCTTTTACCTGTCTCCCTATCTCACTTATTTTACTTGGTGGGGGGGTGACTCTGTTTCGGAGTCAGCTTCAGCAGTTATATCAGCGGAGATCGCACCATGAGGAGCCTTGCCTGCGCTTGCGAGTGTGAGAGTCGAAACCCTAATGTAGAGAACTACCCACTTGCCTCCCACAGCCCAGCCTCAACCAGCATGGTATTCCGGACACCCCCTGGGCAGATGGAAAAGAGGCGATAAAAAAAAAGAACTACCCACTTGTGCCCCAAAAAGGGTCTGTGAATTTCATGGCCCTTTGGAGGTTTGCCATCTGCTTGTTGTGGATCGAGATCCCATGGCCGATCCATGGTGCCGGAGGCCACGACACAGACATAAAATAAAATAAAATAAAAATATAATATAATATATAACATATAACATATAATATATAATATATAACATATAATATATAATATATTATATATAATGTAACATATAATATAATACAACATAATAGCTTTCGGGCTTTGGGTCTCAGAACTCATGTGGTTTTAAGCCTCTCTTAGCATGGACCCAGCTCTTTTTGCTGTCGCTCCTGTCATATCCATCCTTGAGGAAGCTCCAGGAGCTATGCGAGCTCCAGCGGGAGTGTGTCCAGCTCTTCCGAGTGCCTTGGAGTGGTTGGGAATCAACATCTTAATGTGAGGGGGGGCGAGGGATTGGTGCTGTATGGACGGAGGTCGTGGCCCTGGTATCGTACCACGTAGCTGTAGCTTCTGGTTCTGAAGGTGGCAAGCCAATGCGATGCGGGGTGCGGGTAAAGTAACTTTCCAGGACGACGTGGCTGCATGGACTGTGGACACCATTCAGAGGCACAGCTGTCAGACGAGTAAGGTAGCCCTTCGCAGCTTCTACAGCTCTCACACAGCATTCCGAGAGGCTCAGAGTTCCTGATTGGCTCGGAACGCATTGGCAAAGTCCGCAGTGAAATTACCCAAAGGAGGCAACGACCTCTCAACATGCAGGCAGATCTCCTTCTTGGAGAGCTCCGGCATTGATGTGGACGCAGGTGCTTAGTGCTTGGCTGGAGCAGTGTAAGTAAGCATGTCTGGAAGACTGCCGAAAGACTGAGACTGGACATGTGGCCAAGCTCGCCATCCTGCACGCAATTGTAGCCCTGCGCTGTGCAAACCTCCCAGAAGGCAGACAAGAGCTGGAGCCGCCCCTCAAGGCAGAGGAGGACTTCCCAATTGCACTACAGAGTTTGTCTTGTGGTGCAGAATCCCGCTTTCTTCAAGGTAGCTGGCTGCCAGATGGTCTCTGCAGGGGTGCTTGCTGTTAGACCAGTATGGCAACTAGACTCCGCATATCTCAGGGGTCAGCATGCCAGAAAGCAGATGGAGACTCAAGCTTCGGAACCGTCTCTTCAGGATGGCCTCGCCGCAATTCTGCTGAAGGGTCGCGTCTCTTGCTCGCATTTCCCAGCCTGACTAGGGTGCACGGAATGCAGCTCATCAGCACGGAACTAACTCGGGTCGACAGGAGGGAACAAGACCCGAATGAGACCTTGGTCCCGATTCTGCGCACATCTCAGACCATCCCGGCTTTCCTGCAATAAGGCTGTCGACAAGCTCGGCGCCAAATCCGACAGCGCCCGTAAGGCCGTTGCAGCCTGGCTGCGGTGCAACTGATAAATTGAATGAAGGAAGGCGTTCTGACCTTATTGGCGCACCGTGGTGACAATTACATGCTGGCAAGTTTTCCACTACTTTTCCATTGGAAACGATCTTTACAATTGTGTGCCGAAGAATCTGTATGTCATTGGATCTTTGGATGGCGAGGATTGAGTGTCAATGCCACCATAACTCGGTAACCTAAGGTGCCACCCTTGCCATCTTTGGACCGCAGCTGCAGCGCATCAGCTGGAATGCCATGCATTGTTGCCGGGACACATTAATCAGGGTATTTCGAGTTTGTGCTTGAACGAGCCATCGTTATCCGTGAACTGGGCTGGCAGGCTCGACACTTCAGGGTAGGTTGAGGAAACTCGTGAAGCCTCCTTTCTTCAAGCATGATTCTTTCATGAAGACAGCACATGCGTAGAGCTTCGCAGGTGGAGGCGTCGCCACCGAGAATGCCGGATTTGCTTCGGGCATCCTCCTCCCCATCCTGAGTTTTAGACGGTATAGACTGTGTAGACTCGGTGTAGACTTGTGGAGTATGGTGTGCATCTTCGTAGTTGCGTTAAGGATTTGACATGATTTGACGGTCAAAGCTGGATGTGGGGGAGCTTGGGTTCGGCAGAGCACGTTGAAGTTGCAAGCCGTCCGGATGCAACCGACCAGTACAGGAGGTCTCTGCCTCTGCGGAACGGTTCCAAAAGGTCGGCCTGGGCAGCCGCCGAAACAGCATGTTGAAGCTGCCTAAAAGACGACCGTTCAACTACGCCAGGTTCCGAGAGCCTGTCGTCTCTCTCGACACAGGCGCCTTCCGCAAGGACCTCGGCCTCGGCCCCAAAGGGTATACGGTCAGAGTACGCTTCCTCGCTGCCTTTTTTCGGATGGCTTATTAGAGTATGGCTTATTATAAGCCATGTTCGCTTCCTCGCTCCCTCGACAAATCAGTGGGGTGAACCAATGCGGTGGAGATGCACGAAGTTGACTGCCTCGTGTTTTGAGCCGTGCCTACATGCAGAGCATTGCAGAGCTGTGCGGCCATGTGCTCATTGCCCTGCAACATCGTGAGAGCTGACTGAGATGCTCGTGGTGGGGGATCCCCCAGATTTGCGGAGGAGCCACAGTGAGTGACCGGGAGTGTGGCATTCTACCAGCAAGTATCAAGATCTGTCATATGACAATATGAGTAAGTTTCAGATGGTTGTAAACTGGTGGCGTGCTCCAACGTTCCGTGATAGCCGAGATTTCAGTGTCGGTCGACCTTCCCGTAGTCGGACGAGCATCCTTGTCTCGCCGAGTGCTTCAGCGTGTCAATGTGGCGGCAACTGAAGTGCGGAGAACGATCGTTATAGTCCTATACTGTTCCTCCCAAAGCCCCCAAACCCTGTTTTGAGTGCTAATCACGGCCACGCAATGGCAGGAAGAGCCTCGTGGAGCCGGACTTGCAATTTGGCGCCAGCGCACGGCAGGCGCGGCTCGCGGGAAGCCTTGGAAGGGATTTAAAAGGATGATTCCCGGGAAACCAATTCTCTTTGAGCCCGAACCGAAGATCACAATGGCATAGAGGAGGCTTCATTTCAGCAGATGAAGGTGACATGCATTGACAATGGAAACAGTGACAGGAAGCATGCTTGGTCCCAGCTTTGATCACGGGGACCAGTCTACATTCCGGGAACGGCAAAGGGTTTGTACCGGCCGGAATCATTTGGGAGGTAGGAAGCCTAAACGGTAGTCGGCCAAGGTGCAATGTTTTTGAGCCTCGCGCATGTTGAAATTGCAGCTTGATGGGCATTCATCCAGCATAACACGCATTGTAAAGTGTTGCAACTTTCGATGGCATGCTCATGGCCACACTGTCCTGGTTCTTGGCGCTGCGATTGCTGGGAGTCCAAATCTCGGCAGCTCCACTGAGTGCGAAAGGCGGTGGTGTGTCCGAGCCGACGCACGCAAACCAGATTCCCAAGCTGATATGGTCATTCTGGCATAGCGAAGCACTTGTGCCAGGCGTGGTGCGCCTGGCCCAAGGCACGTGGAAGCACTTCGCTCCGGACTACCAGCTTCGATTGTTGAACGAGCAAAGCGTCAAGGAGTACCTGCCTGCGGGAGAGCGTGACGTGAGTCCGGATTCCTTCTTCACACTCAGTGCCTACACCGATTGGCTCAGATTGAGTCTGCTTGCCTCTTACGGCGGCATTTGGATGGACTCGACGCTGTTGTTGACTGCACCTGTGGATTCGCTCCTGAACCAAACTGCTCATCTAAGTGGCCTTCACTTGGAGGCTGCTCTTTTTGAAAGCTACTTCCTTGCTGCAAGGCCTGAGGAGGACATCGTGCAGAGGTGGCGAGACGAGATGTGGCGCATCGGCAGAATGGCAGACAAGGACTACGATGTGCATCTGACTCGACTCAAGACTCGCGGCATCGAGCCGCTGAACGGACACATGTCTGAGTGCGACTGGCGAGACCGATCTCCTGTCCACGAAGTCGCCCACTGGATCTTGCATCGGGCCGTGGCTGCTGTAAACTTCTTTGTTGGATACACGAGCTTCTATCTTCACCCATGCGGCCAGCATTATTGGATGTGGTATTATCGTGTTTGCGTAGCGTTCAATGCGGTTGTGGTGAGTGCTGACGGCAGCGACATCACTCAGCTCGCTGCTCCGATGGGGATCCATATGACTGACTCCGAAAGGACGCTGAACAGAATTGCAGTTTCCTTCGGATGGGACACAACACAAATTGTTCGTTTTCTCATTACCCGGAGCAGCGAGGACTTCCAGCTCACGCCCATCCGCGGTATCAAGCTCCGCTCCAAGGAGAGGAACATGCTCACCGAGCTTTCTTTCTGCGAGACTGGCAGCATCATCTGTAGACTTCAAGCACTCGTTGGCGACCGGTTCTTCGAAGAGAGGGCGAGTGCCTCCTTGGAGGCTGCCGTGGAGCTGTGATCTGAAAAAAAACTGCCATGCCTGCTTTGTGCGAGTCTGTGAGTCGAAACCGATGAGCCTCGCCGCCCCTGTGCGAGTGTGAGAGTCGAAACCTGGTTGGCATGCGAGGAGAAGACCTACTCTTCCCGCCAGCGCCAGCAGCAGCCGCGCTTCTTGGCAGATCCTCGTGGAGAACGGTGCGCAGAGAATGTTCTCCGGGACAGTATCAGAGTATCGGTGGGCAGTTCATTCGTTGTGCGTTGTTCTTCCGGACAGTGGTTGGATATAGCTGGACAGTAGTTCTTTGGGCATCAGCATCGGTTGTGAGAATGTTACGTCTCGTGAAGGTTTTATCCCCAACTTATCCCCTGTTGTCATGTTCGCAGAGTACGGAGGCCAAGCAACAACGCTTCCACAGCGGCGTCGTTCACAACCCCCGACAGAGCCTGGGTACCAGGCTCGTGCCACACGTTTAGCAGGTCTCATCGCAAGCTGCAAGGGGCGCAGAGTTACAAACGGGCACGATGCTCGGGTGGAAACAGTTGGCCCTTCCGGCTCGGTCCGTGAAACCTAAACCTGATCCGTGATGGCTTCCAGAGGAGCTCCAACCCAAGATCGCGCAACAAAAATCATGACCTTTCTCGGCTTGTTTTTTCTGACACAGGGCTACAAGGTCAACGACGAAGAGATTGAAAAGGCCAGCCCAAGGACTTTCAGATCTCCCGGATTTCGGATTCACCAGGGGCAAAGATGGTTTCAGAGCGGGGCGGAGCGAGCCACTTTCATCTTCATCCGCCCAAAGCCTTCCCTGATGAATCATGCTTTAACTTGGCCCAACTAAGATGAATCATGCTCCAACTTGGCTCAACTATGTGCAGTTGAGGGACCTGTCCTCGTAGGCCAAGCCGGTTGTTGTCTTGACCTCCGACAAGGGCATCACCAAAGTCGAGACAGCACACTGCTGCAACAAGGGTTCAGGAAGAATTGGCAGGCGGTTTTGTTGCAGTATATTGCCATCGGACATTCCGGCGGAGCCTTCCGCTGGTGCATTTTCGCCAAGTTGGCTGTATTTTGGCTTCGGATGCAGTTACTGGCTTGGGAAGACTGGGCCTGATCAAATGATCCCAGCTACACATAAACACCCAGTATTTCCAGATGCCCAGCATTATGGGCCGTAGGACCTTTCATGCCTCTGTTGTGGGCACCTTGGCTGGTGCTAGCTAAAAGCCCAGAAGCCCTGGCCATCGAAGCTCTCCTGATAGAGGCAGAGGCTCCTGAAACATGGGCTCTGCCTCTTCTTTCGCCAACATAACATAATATAATATAATATACACTGCTACACTGTACTATACTATACTATATACTGTAATATAATATATACAGCTTTGGGCAAAGCCCTTGGCTGTAGCTGCTTCCTTCAGATCTCCACTTAGGACTACTCAGACCTGGCTCACCAAGCGAGCGGCTTCAGGGCGGCTTGGACTTCCCAGGGTCAGGGATCAGCCTCCAGGTCTCTGCGGCTTCTGGGTTTAGGGTTTAGGGTTTAGGATACACACACACAGTGCAGTGAAGTGTAATGTGTGGTATGGTGCGGTGTGGTATGGTGTGGATGGATGTACGTCGTGCACACGACAATGGGATCTGCACAGAACTGCTACAACAGTATTCATACGGTGTCGATGAGCTCTTACCGGAAGAAATGCATAAACTTCGGGCTGCAATGGGCTTGCGGTTGCCTTTGAAAGATGGGCACGGTCACATGCTACTGCTTCAGTGTTTTGGATTCGCCAAAGGGCCTAGCGGCCTAGCTACGGCGACTTAAGCGATGAGCCTCAGCGTTCAGTAAGTGTTCATAGCGGTGCAGGACTTCCTTTTCGTAGGACAGGTTTGTTAGGAGCCCCCTGTCGACCGTCTTCTTTGCGTGATACTTCCACTGCGCGCCTCGGCCTCGCATTGACAAGCGCTGCTGCCTTTCGAGGCACGCAGCCTGCTTCCCACGCTCTCGGAGCGACCTCCCGCGACCACAGAGGCAAGCATTGCCTATTGTACTCGGGAACTTAGCGTCTGACATGTCTGCCGTTAGAGTCCTAGCCGCTGTAGTCATCTAGTTGTGTAACTGGCTGTCAGAGTTCCGCCCGATGTCTTCAGATATGCCCCATCACCAGGATCGGTCGAGCCTTCCCAGCAGCATAGGGGTCTTATGAGGGGAGCTAGGCCTCGGCATTTAGATCGTGACGATCCACATGCTTCAATGGTTAGTTACTTAGTTGCCGGGCCCGATTTCCAAGTCCTTACCGCGAGTTTGGACCCTAAACCCCTTGAAGCCTTTCTAGCCATGCACTACTTATGTGATTGATGACCGTATATTCTTAGATCATGTCATATATTATGTGATAGTATACCCGAAACATCCCTAAACCCTGTATAAACCTTAAACCCAAATATGTATGGCTACGGCTCAAGTATTGCTTGCTGTGGCTCGCCACCGATGTCGCGTAGTTCGCTTCAGCAGCTTTTTTGTGAACAAGCCGAACACCAAGCGTATGCAGGTGCACGCGACATGCACAGCAAAGCTGTAAAACATGTTTCATCAACTTTCATGGATCTCTATATATAAGCAGTATGTGTAGAAGCAATTTGCTCCCCTAGCGTTGTCCCGATGGCTTCGAGCAGCTGAAGCAATGGGAAGCATGCAGAGAAGATCTGTGGTGACAGTGGTGATCTTCTTGTTGGTGCAACACTTCAGGAATCCTTGTAGCTTCAGCGCAACCAATCGTGCGAAGATGTGGATTCCCGCACGTGCTGCTCCACCAGACTGGGCTACACAGGCGGCAGATGCACATCAACGAACATGTGTCAGAGCTCGTACAGACAATGAAGGAGAAACCGGACGTCCGGAACAACACACTCATATCAAGCACCCAACAATCCGGTCAGGGGCACTTAAGACTTACATAGAGCAGCTGATGGTCGCGACGTCGTTAAGCAGCACACCAGGCATATCTGGCACTGGCAAGACAGTTGCAGCGACACCGGCAATCACTGCGATGGCAAATGAGCGGGGAGATGAAGCCTTCGTCCTGTTGCAGGGCAATTTGAACCAGAGGCTGCGAGCCTTTATTCGCATAACTGACGAAAGCCTCACGGATGACATTGCCGAGCCGTTCTTTACGGCTTTGCAGCGGGAGAACATCCAATTGCATTTGAGTTTTGACAATGTGCTTGAAAGACATATTGAAATCAATCGCAAGTGCGGCCAGCAAGCACCAGCACCAAGTAATCTTCACCATGCAAACCCGAGAAGCTGCAGAGTCAGTGGGGAACCTGAACGGCGCCACTATGCGCATTGCGCCACAACAAGACCACCCCTACGGAGCTTACAGAACGAGAGGGAAACGGTGCAGTTGATCCAAACTTTGCAAACAGATAAGCCGCAAGACGAGATAGCGGGCGGTGGCGTCCCCGGGATACAGAGCTCTTCGTGATTCATCGTGCTGAGTGGTCTGAAACCTTCAGCGCAACGCCGTCACGCGCAAGCAGGCACGACCTCAACGTCCGACGTTGAGGTCGTGTCTGCTTGCGCTTGACGGCGTTGCGCTGAAGGTTTCGTCTGGGTGCGGGAGCTGATCCGCAAGGATGGGAAGGCCACCGCCAAGCTGAGGCCCAACAAAGAGTCTGAGGGTGAGGATGAGCTCGCGCGGGCGTTTCAGGTGGAGTCCCCTCAGGACCACCCGCGTCTCAATAATGTGGACGACTTGACGAGAGCCATCAAGCGGAGGAAGCAAACCGCCCTCAAGGATGTCGAGGCTGATCAGATCGACATCTACTCACAAGAAGCTGGAACGTGGCAATGCGCCAAAAGCGCATCGGAAGTCCTGCGCCGGAACACCAGCGAGCAAGATTGCTACGGCTTTTTGCCACGACACACAGCTTGAAAGGTGCCACAGTGTCTTGTTGATGTTGAGATTGTTATCTTTACCTGATGAAAGTTGGGCAAAGCTGGTTCCCCCGTGTAGATTCTTTAAATTCTTGCTTTCCTGGGAGTCCCTTTTGTGGTTTTTGTATGGTAAGGGTCTTAGATTCTGGTCTGTGGACTGGGTTCTTGTCTTTGTAAGGAATTCTCATGAATTCTCAGTCCAGGTTCACGCCGACTTCGCACCATGAACCTCGCCTGGCATGTCAGAGTTGTGAGAGCGTAAACCCAAATATAGAAATATCTAAACCCCTAAACCCTAAACCCTAAGTGGGAGGAAAAATATCTAAACGACAGCCGCCAGGGCTACCAGAGCAGCGCTCCCGGCCGCGAAGCACCCAGGCCCTGGGAGCCGACCCCTGGCCAAGTCATGAAAACCATAAGCCCTAAGCACCCAGCGGTTTAAGGGTTTAGGGGTTAGGGTTTTAGGGGTTAGGGTTTTAGGGGTTTAGGGTTTAGGGGCTTAGGGTTCAGGGGTTTAGCGGTTTAGGGTTTAAGGAGGGTTCCTTTAACGCTCCCTTAAGGGGGCGTACTTTTGGGTCTTATGAAGGGGTATGAGAGTACTACGAGCGGGCCCAATGGTATAAGAAAGGGCTTCTAGAAGGATTGTGAGGATTGAGGGATACTGTAGGGGTTTCTTTAGTATCAGTATTGGGATACAGTTTTTTTGGGGTTGCTACAAGCATGTACATAGGGCTACCACCACCATCTACCACGATCGCAACTGCTGTTTCTACTTCTGTGACAAGTGACGACCATCATTACCACTACACTGACCGTCTTCTTCCATGTTGAGGACAACTACAAGTACTACAACTGATGCTACTACTTGTAGTGCAGCAGCAGAAACCAACAGCAGCTACGAGCGATCTCTGGACGTCGGTTGGGTATCCCCGGTCTCGATTCGGAATCGTCAGAGAGAGAGATCGCATGCCGGTTGCAATGAGTGTTGGATGTGCAACATGTACTTCTATTGTGAACCGCCGCCGGATGTGAATGAACTCTCCACTCATGGCTTGAAGCGCTCAGGAAGATGGATGTGGATGGGAAGACACAAGTTCCAGCCCCATGGCATGCTTTGAGAGATCTTGAGAGTGTTCCCGGGACGCGTGCTGCAGAGTTGCGCTGTTGTCGCATTTCTGCTGAGTGTGCTCCTCTGAGATACTCGTCGTAATCGATTGCAGCTCCTTCTGCCATGATGGGATGTTGGGTACCGTTGCCGTGTCATGTCATGTCAAGCCCTGGCTGCCCACGCCATGAACTGACGCTTCACAAGCGGCATAACATGTAGAACTCGAACCGGATTGAAAACTGAGCTAGGCTGCGAGAGCGCGGCAAGACACCCGAAAACACTGAAGATCAAGACTGCGTAGTAGTGTGACTTGCGACAGCCTCGAACGCCAGGAGAGCGTGTTCAAGGCGCCCGGGCAATATTGGATGTGCTGATGATATACCAGATGGAGTAAGGCAGGCATTACTTTTCAGATGGCTATACAGCAAAAGGGGCCGCAAATCTGCGCACTGCCGGGAGCCATTTGGCTTGCAAGCAGCTAGTGTATGTGGCAGGCGTTGGAGGATGCATCCCTATCGTTGGAGTAAGCCTGGAGCTGGAATGGTGGAGAGTATCACAGATTGTATGGACTGGTAGGTAACTGTTGTGCGGCCTTATATATATATGTATGTGTATATATATATATATATTTGTATAGATAGATAGTGTTCAAGGAAGTGGGACGTCCTGTGTCCTGTGTGCGTGTGTGTGTGCGCGCACGCACACTCACGCACAAGTAAGCTGCGACGATGTATGTGGATGACTGCCCGACTCCCATGCCAAGCAAAAGCCAACCTGCCAGCTAGCATTTGCCCAGGGAAGTCTTCTCCAGCCCAACCGCATCTCATCGATAGTAATGCACAGCTAGTCACGGTATTGCGGCACTAACTGCGCGATGGCCTCTCGCACTCGGAGCATAATGTCGTACAGATTACAGAATCCATATACACAGAAGTGCGCCCTGGATTTGAAACCCCCTCATGTGGAGTCAGTCTCGAGATGCGTGCAGAGCGCGCGCTGCTCCTGCTGACTGTGAGCCTGCCACTGGTATTCGTGCCGGAGGCCAGAGGGTTGCCTGGTCCCGTAGCGTGCGGACACCCCTTCACTAAAGTCAGGATGTAGGACAATGTAAGAGTGTTTGCTCGAGCTTCTGTGCAGGTGTTTCTCCCTCGACATGCGCCCTCGCGGGTTGGGCCAAGGTGGTCACAAGGAGGCGGCCACAGCTTTAAGCACTCCTTGGGACTGTTCGGCAAGTAGGATGTACATTATATCAACAACATAGATTACCGTCAAGACGTGTTCTTGGAATGCACTCCAGAAGTGGCACAATATGGCGCATGCACATGAAGTTCACAGACTAGGCACTGCTGCTTCGAGGAGCGCGCTTCGAGATTGAGCCTATGGAGTTGTGGCTCTTCGAGAATGGAGCACGCGCAGCTTGGGGGCAAGAACGGGAGAAATTGCATGTGGGTGGCCCCCTCAAAAGAACACGCCCCACTCGATTAGTCCCCAAGCTTTTTCACCACTTGGGGCGGGCCGGGGGTTCTCGAGGGACACTTGGCAGCTCAGGTCAGCTCCAAAGCGGCCCGGCAGATTTTTCAGAGGTAACTGGGGGGAGTCCTGAAATCAGGCTTTGTGAGCTCGTTGCTTGCCAAGGCCAGCGTTGGACCCGGGAGTGAGGGACGGGGCGTCTGGGCGAAACAGACGATAGCAGCAGGTGCCCTGCTAGCACCAGAACCTTGCTGTCGAGTTACGGTCGCACCCCCCACCGAGATTTGGCAGGTGAGGAGATCGCACGTGTTCCGATCAAGCTCGTCCTTTCGAAGGACGCGGACCGCAGTGTTTGCAAACTTGCCATCGCCATGACCATGCCGATACAGCCTGATATAGCATGGCTTCTGCATGTCGGAACGGTGAACCCCTACATTGTGGCAGAGGCCTCTTGGGCCCTGGGTCCTCAAGCGGACCGGCTTCGTCAGTGAATTTCAGATCGGACGGCTGGACAAAAACCCGCAGTCCCATGTACATATAGAATCATATATACATGCAAGGCCCACCGTCAACCCACCATAAATACAGTCACAGCAGGCATAAGCGCCAAATAACAGGACTCAAAAGGACCACACTAACGGTTCAGGAATTCCAATAATTCGATGGCTTCTCCTCCCAGGACACACGCTTTGATAGCATTGAAATTCGCATGCGAAGTCGAGCCGTGTTCGCTGGCGGTGAGCGCTCTTTGCCGAGGAGTCTGCCGCCAGCGCACTGGGTTCCGATATCATCTCCGAGGACTCTTCCGAGAAGTGCACCAGAAATAGACTTTCGTGCAGTTTTGCAAGCTGCACGGAACAAGTCCGAAAGCAGCCTTCTGCTCGCCGACTCTAGACTGCCTGAAAAGTCTGCGGATACTTTTACCTGGTGAGGACATGGGCGAGTACACTGCCATTGCGCTGCAACTGATTCACGAGCGATACGTGCTCTGGCATCTTACAGTCGACACCAATATGTTGATAATGATTATTTTCATGAAATTATCCTTCTTACTACGATTATTGTTAGTAGCAGCACTATTTATATAATTATTGTTATTCAGCTTTAGACCGGCCATGCTCCGCCTTGGATCAGGGGGTTTTGGCTTTGCCGTCTGACAATTTCTCCCTTACACTCCGAGGTGCTTCAGGATGCATCCTTCTGGCAGCCCTACCTGGATCTGCTGCCGGACACGGCGGAGATAGGTTCCTCTTTCACATGGTCCGAGGAAGATCTGGAACTACTCTCGGGCAGCCTAATTCAGAACATCTCCAGCTTCTTGCGGGAGAAGATCCAAGATGAGTACCGCAGCCTCTGTGAGACCACCCTGGCCAAAGATCCTGCCAGCTTCCCTCTCGATGTCTTCACGCTGCCACGGTACATTTGGGCGTATGCCGTGCTTCTGAGCCGGTCCTTCCGATTGCGCTTCGATCGGAAAGGGGAGAAAATTGCTTTGGCAACTTGAAAAAAGCAGCTAGAAATGGGTTTTCCAACTCTTCGGAACTTCTATGTTGCAGGCTGCTGCACTCTGTTCGTGACCGACCTCAGGTACCTTTCGTCGATTTCATCAACCATGACCCGGAGTCGAAAGCATACGTGGCTGGCGTCACGGACTGCACGGGTTGATGATTGCAGGTCCGAAGCCGAAGCTTGAGGCAGTCCAACTTCGTGTGTCAAGCTTTCATTTGTGGCGAGATGACGGGCCTACGCCACCGCGATGGAATCGAGTTTGACACATGTTTCGGAGCCTTTTCAACGAAGAAGATACGAATTCTGAGAGCAACTGGCAACTCTGCCCGAGCAATTGGGAGACCCGACTTGCCAAGAGCAGTGGCAAGACTGGCCGTTCCCGTTGTCAGTTGCCACGAAAACACGAGCAACATGAACGACAGTAGCACCGTCCTTACGCATAAGACTGCCAGTGCTCCGGGTTATGCCGCGGCAGCCAAACAGTCAGAAGAGCGGCAAGCACTGGCAGCAGCAAGAGCAGCAGCTTCAGCGGCAGCAGCAGTAATTCAGTAATAGCACCGGTGGCAGTAGCAGGCGCAAGCAGTGCTAGTGCCACGAACTGCAGCTACGGTTACGACGTGGTCGTAGCATTTGTCGTAGTACTAGTCGTCATCTCAGCACAAGTGCAAGCAGCAGGAGTAGCAGTAGCAGCACAAGCAGCGGCAGCAGCAGCAGCAGTAGGAGTACGTAGTAGAAGCAGTAGTAATCGTAGTCGTCGTCGTAGTAGTAGTAGTAGTAGCAGCAGCAGCAGCAGCAGCAGTAGCAGTAGCAGCAGTAATAGGACTAGTAGGAGTAGGAGAACTAGTGTAACTAGTGGACGAGAAGGACTAGTAGGACCAGGAGGAGTAGCATTAGTATATGACGTATTAGTATAAGACCCGTAGGAGTGGTAGCAGGGACCTTTTTCGTCTCCATACAGTTGTTGCTGCTGCTGCAGTCCGGTGAAGTACTGCAGCAGCCAAGGCAGAAGAAATCGTAGTTCAACAGGAACTGAAGCACAATCGCAGCTGATATAAACCAGACAACACCCATCACCACCAACATGACAAAGACAACGCAGTTTGCCATCCCAAAGAAGAACGCCGTTTCCATTCGAGAGGCAGCCATAGTCAAACGATTGTTAGCCATTCACTTTACAGGATAGCCCCCTGCAGGAGGCAGCCGGCCGCTATGTGATGCTCAAGACAGATCGGAAGTACGGCCCGAAAGAACAGGCAAGCTAGCTGGAACTTATTGAGTGGTATGTACAGTATATGTCGACAGTATGAGCATGTAGTTACTGCACGTAGATGCATGTCATGCGTTCCTACAGTGGCAATATCCATATAGATACTACATGTGTATGTATTATATATATATACACACACACACGTCTATCTCTCTCTTTCTCTCTCGCCTTCTCGTTCTCTCTTTTACTGTAATTATGTGCAGGACGTGTGCACGCGCAGTTTGTTGCTCTTTGGGAGAGTTGGCGTAGTTACCTCGCAGCTTCGGTTATAATGCTACAACATGCTAAAGTATGTGTCATATACCCCAACACAGTAAAAGGGAACATGCTTTTGTTGCTATATAGGACAGAAGCATTGTGTTTGATAATCTAATTTGGTATGATTTTACAATAGAATATGATCTGCTATAATCATCTCTCGGAGTATCTGCGTGAAGGGTCGCAAGAAGTCAGAATGAAAGCTTCTGCCGATATAATCCGATATACATATGCTCTCTCCTCGGAACTTCAATACCTAATGTTCAACTTGGATCACACACCAGAAGCTTGAACATAGGAGCATTGGTGGTGCTATGACAGCACCTCGCGGTAGTTCTTGGCGGGGGGGGGGGTGGGCGCGCGGCATAAAGGCTCTCGGGTCCCAAACCACCACCACCCCCCCGGCCCTGCCGGGCACCGCCTTGCAGCCCTTCTTTTGGCAGCTTTGACTGCCTGCGCCAACCTTGATGCCTTCCAGCCTCTCCGGAAAGGAGCTGGGTATTGCGATATATGTGTGTGTGTATATATATATACATACATATATATATATAGAGAGAGAGAGAGAGAAAGACAGACAGAAAGATAGATAGATAGACCGATAGATAGACAGACAGATAGATAGGTAGGTAGGTAGGTAAGTAGGTAGATACACAGATAGAGTAGATAATATAACAAACCATAACATAGCATAAGCATAACCTGACAAATTGATACAACAAATAATACGATGTACTGTAATCGAGTGGTGCATTATATTGATCCGTTCTGCGCCATATTAGATTGTAGTGTATTATACTGAAATACTTTTGCATTATACTACCTTGTGCTACATGTTTATTGTACAGTACTGCATTATGTTGTATTATGGTGGCAATAACAAGTAGTGGACTTTTCTGTCCAGCTTTTCCGAGCATCCGTTCCTTGCAAACAATGAGGTCTTCGATTCTTACGGGCGAAGGTCGAACGATGAGCTGCTGTTGCTGTACGGCTCCTTGGCTCGATCGGGGGGAAGTTGCCTTGGGCCCAGATGAACGAGATCCATGAAGCACTTCCTCGCCTTCACGGGATTTCACGAGTACTTATCCGACAGGTTTCTACGCCTTTGCAAGTGCTAGGCACAAATGTCACGTGAATATGGAGGCAGGGGAGCAGGCTCATTGCCGTCATTTTGCTTTCTACGTGATTCTTGGAATTGTCGAGGCTTCTCCCTGGAGACAAACGCAGCCCTGCCTGAAGATTGAGCTTTTCTGACCGGACACTCTTTGAATTTCCTTTTTGCAGTGTTTGCGAGCCCTCCCTCTAGAAGGCAAGAAAAAAAGGTCCACAACTACGTGGAGATCCCGCTGACAGAGCTGTGGGAGTGTACGGAGCTGGCAGAGCCAAAGCGGTCCTGGCTTGCCGTGAATGGAGCCCTGGCTGATGACTTTGCTGTCTAGCATTCGGTGACCTATAAATTGACTATAAAGATGGGATTGGGTCAATACTCGATGCTCCCCCCTGCAGAGCTAGGCATCGACCAAGATGAGATGCAGAGCATTTTCCTCTATCGTGGGCGATGGCCGAAAGAAATGATGCTCCCAAGTTTGCAACACTTTTGAGGTTTCACGTGATTCGGATCTTGACTGAACTGAGCACCCGGACTCGGCTCGATCCTACAATTCGCGAAGTAAACTCAGGCTCCTGCTGCGGCTCCTGGTGCTCACCAGGGAGGAGATTGGTGTTCGCCGTGAATATGCAGTGGCTCAGCTATTCAGCTTGCTTGCTGTGACTGCAGTTGGTGTGGTTTCGAAGATGCGATGCTACAAGAGAGATCAAGAGAGCACATCTGTCGTTCTACAGAATGGTCATGTTATGTCCAGGTGCACAAGACGCTCAAGGACATGGACCTTGCAACTCCGGTGGCGCCGGACGTTGAGGAACGCGCGCTCAAAGCGCTGAGAAAGCTCATTGCCGAGGTGGCATGGCGGAGTGAAGCCTCAAAGCAGGCAAGGCTGTGTGGCATGAAACAAGGGAACACGAGAAGCGCAGCACACCATCAGAAGTTTCGCTGGCAGACGATCCGTGTGTCACTGTTTGGTTATTTGACCACTGAGCCCTTTCCAGCTCTTTTCCTTTACTTGCATGTTGCAGTGAATGAGGTTCTCTCAAAATGCCCTGTGCAATTGCGGGAGAGGGACGCGAAGCTACTACGAGATCGATTGGCGTTTGAAGCCCTTTCGAGGAAAGAGCAGCGCCTTGAGTCTGAATGGTGTTTAGCAGTCGCTTCAACGAGTCGACTGTGCAGAGACACACCGGCAAGCTGTACTTGCGATTGGCATTCATTCAGACCCGTAGTCCCTTGCAAGGTATGCTGCCAGTGCGCGGCACGGGGAAGTTGATGTGCTTGCAACTGGGCTTCCGCAGTGTAATCTACTGATGGGCTTGTGGATCGGGAAGATTGACCCACAACTGTACCGAGCAAATGTACTTGGCGAGTTGTTGTGCGCGTCCCCATCATCGGCCACACTCTGCCGTGGGAGTGTGGATGTAGTCACGTAGTCATCGCTTGCCCCATGCCAATGTCAAGTACCAAGGAGACCAACAGGCTTCGCGTGAACAGACTGCTGCACCACGTCCCCTTCGTGTTCCGGCGGAGGGATGCAAGGACACTTCCGAGGGAGTTGAAATTGTGGGATCAAGGGAGCCTCACCCCCTCGATCTTCAGGCGCTGCACTGATGAGATCTAGACATCGAGCCGGGCGAGTCGAAACCATAGGATACAACCGGTCGCTTCATCCAATCTCGCCATGACTCTCGGCCAGGAAGCAACAAGTCGTACCCGGCTTCTCTGCCGACTCAGTGCCGCAGGATTTCGATGTTTTCCTCAAAGAGTTTGAGATGGACTAGGTTTCACCGCCTCCAGCCTTCTAGGACAAGAGCCGCGAGCGAGGGGACAGTGGTTTCCTGGCCGGCCCAGTTGTACTCGAATTTTCGGCTTGAGTGCCCCCAAACAGGCCATCAGTTTGCTTGGCCTCGCGGAGAGCAGAAAAGGCTTCGAGCATGGTTGCCAGCAGTACGTTATCCACTCGGATGTACCGCATGCCTGTGCAACTTCTGTTCTGTGCACGTAGTATCTTAAGAATATTATGAGAATACTATAATCATACAATAATAATATTATAGTAATACTATGATAATACAATAATAATATATTTCTATAATAGTGCAATAGCAATATAATAATAATAATAATAGTAATAATAATAATAATATAGTATTATGATACAAGCCGTGACGTCGGCAAGGCCATGGAGAAGCTGGGTCATGCTGCAAGGCACCGGGGGCAGCACGTCCTGGCGAAGAGCACTCGGCACCGTGGTCGTGCCTGGCGCGGCAAAGCTATTTTTTCAGATTTCAGAGTTTAGGGCTTTAGGGTTTAGGGCTTTTAAATTTTTGGTGTTCAGAGAAGGAAGAAGTTCTATGGGTACCAGGCGTTCTGCTGCATGCACAGGCCTCGCAGGAAAAAGGGTCTCGGCACGACGTCTTTGGCAAAGTCACAAGAATAGACTGAACTGGGCTTGGGCAGAGTTCCCTCCTGCCTGCCCAAGGCAGCTTCACAGCAGGATCTTATGATAATATGATAATAATACTATAATAATACTATTATGACAATAATAATAATGATAATATTAATGATAATGATAATAATAATACTGCATTTCCGGAGCCGGGTTTGAGGCAAGACGCTGGTTCGCCACGATTGCCTCCCTGGGCGCACCAACTCGTGCCTCTACGCAAGCAGTTAAGCAAGTGCCCGTGGTGGCCTCGAGTTGCCTGCTGTTTGACCTTTATCCTTGGCCGGACGCTTGTGCTTTAGTGTTCAGATCTCAGGAGACACTTCATGAGAACTGATTATATATGTGCTTGTCGAGCTGTTTACTCCTGATTCTACCGACTTGGTGCAATTCAATGTCACGTGCCCTCCTGATGCCTTATCACATTCAACTTGGAAGCCGAAGCAAGCAACTTTTGCATGGTGGCCAGGACGGAGTATCTCAATGCGGCCTCAGGCACAGCACATGGTACTCGTGTGGCATTGCTTGCATCTGTAAAGCTGTTGCCACTGTTTAACTCGAAGCCACAAGACTCGCTCGGAAAGATCAGGACGTAGACAACCTCCCACAGAGCCGTTGCAGAAATGGTCGGGCTCGGGTGGCGAGGGAACCCCTCCGGTTGATGCGTCTCACGCGAGGTAGTCGCCTCATAGGGTATGCAATGCATAGATCAGCCCTCAACGCCAAGCCGCTCTGGGAGTCCCTAATTACTCTAACTTCTACTTCGTTTGTTTGCGTATCTTGACCGGCCCCCCACACACACAGACATATGTGCATGTCTGTGTCGCGATGTACGCACTTTGTACATTTTTCATTCCGCAGCCTGAGGGACCGTCGGTCGCGCCTAATGCGCTACGAACTCACGGTGAAGCTAGTCAGTGGGACTCTGCATGGCTGATGTGGGTATAGGCTCCAAAGGACATCAAGGCTTTTCGTGAGGCACCCAAAAGACCCTTGACGTCTGTGACTGCTGAGGCGAAAAGGCCCATGCTGTCACGCGCCGTTTCAACATAAGCTGCTTGGCTGTTTGCCGCGGCGAGGGGTGCCCCTCCTTTGTGCGGGTAAAAAAACCCCCGGGCATGGAGGCTCAGCGAATGTGGAGTGGAGCAAGCAACCGGCCCCGTCAGCACAAAGCGCACAAAGGCTACACTTGCAGAAAGCGGCCTTTGGAGTTCAGCACAACATTCAATACGGCAGCCGGGCCATGCCGGGCCCAGACTTCAGGATCCAACATGAGCGAACTGTCTTCCACGACCTCGGCACACCCATGCGGGAAGTCAACATGCCGAGTCCAAGCATCCAGTGTGCGCCGCAGTCCACAAGGTCAACGACAACATCCCAAACCGCTTCTGATCCCAGCAGCTACAAATCAGCCTACACCGGCCCCATGCTGATTATCACCCGAGGCCACCGAAGGGACCTTGGGAGTCCGAACCAGCGTGGTCCTCCGCCATCTCCGCAGGCTCGGCCGGCACGGGCGCAGACACCCCTGGCGCCGGCGGAGCCACATCTGGTGCACTCGCAACCTGGCCTTTGGCAGGTGCTACTCCGAAGGGGAGCAGCACGAACAGCTTGGATCTGGGCCGCCTTCAATGCATCTCTTTTGGCTTCCACCTTGTCTGCAAGAGACGGCGAGTGGTGTGCTGCCGTCTTGCCTTTCGGCGGCGCTGCCGGTTTCAATGCCTGACGGGGAGTGCCTTCTGGACCCTTGGGCCTCTGATGTGTCGCCGGGGCCTCGCCGCGGAGCCCAGTCCCATCTCGGCGTGCGCCCCCGTTGAAGGACCACCAGCGTTTCCAACTCCAGCCAAAAAACGGGTCGGTCGCTGGGGGCCCCTGTTGCCTGACCCGCAGCATTCGGAGCATGACCCACCGCAGGAGGCATCAGAAGCAGCCATTGGATGGCCTGTGTGCAGCTCTTGGGTCAAAGCACTCACCGGTGCCTCCTGTGGCTCGCATGCGGCAGCCCACTCCTGCACGACATCGGGCCCATTCGTCAACTTCTCCAACATTCCAATGTTGGCAGCTTGTTGCAACTGCATGTAAGCTTCCAGTTGCTGCTTCTCCGTAGCAGCAATCTCGTTTTCCAGCTTCGCAACACCTGCCTGGAACCTGGCACGCTCTGCCTGGCACGCCTTTTGCATACTGGCTTTCTACTCCTTCCACCGCTCCTGTCGGGCTTCGATAGAGTTGGCTTCTCATCGACGACATTTGGCCAGCCAGCTTTCTCGCATGATTGACCGCCGATTGTACGACATGAACCAGCGACATGACTTCCGGATTCTTGACGTGGGTCCGGCGGGTCTGAACCTCCACGATATGCTTCTGCTCCTTCCAATTCGCATCGCAGGCCGGGAATGAGCCAGCTTTCGGCTGAGCCCAGCCTGCACTCTGGATACTTCTGCCGTGACTTCCAAGCACCCGGCCAATTTGCATACCCACCGACCCACCTGGCGATTGATCGCCCCATCCTTGGCCTTGCTGCTTCCAACCACCTCTTCTCGCTTGCCCATAAGGCGCAGGACGTGTGATCTTGTCGGCCACGTACCGTGATGCACAGCAAGCGTATAAGGGCCTGCCGTGTGCAAGTGCCTGATACGCAAAGCGCACGCCTAGCTTTAGCACATTTTAGCGCGTCGTTCTCTCAACCGACAATGCAAGGCAGGGCTGTTCGGGCGAGGGGCAATGGCGACAACGAGTTCTAGGATCTACGCCTGGGCTCTCTAGCTTTCCGCTCACGGTGTTCTTGAGCCCTACTATGTATACATACATACATACATACATACATACATACCAACGTCCGCGGACGTTGCCAAGTGGGAGCCAAAAATACGTACATACATACATTCACATAATGTGCATACAGAGATATGATATATGTGCTTGCATCAAATCATACGAATAGAAATCCCCGACAGCAGGATGGGAGCAGAGCGCTGCGCGCCTCGAGCCGAACCGGCAGCCTACAAAGTTGACTTCGAGTCTGGACCTTAGGACAAGCACGTATCTATCCTCACCGTGCATGTATGCAACTTGCTTGAGCGTGTGCATATCATACACATATGCAGAAAGCCTTCCAGTATAAATATGTATATGTGTATATATGTATATATACATATATATATATATATCCTAAACCTCGCCTGACCTCCTCGAGCGCGAGTGCTAAAAACAAATATATATATATATATGTATATATATATATATACATGTATATTTTTACATATTATATATTTGCATATATATATATATACACATACTACTCATATATACACATACATACATACATACATACATACATATGTGTATATATATATACATACATTATATATATATACACATATAGATATACGTGTTATGTATATCCATAAATATTATATGTTTATTTAATTATAGGTACAGATATATACATATATATATATAAATATATTTATATTTTGGTTTTTATGCTTTATTTATATTTTATTTATAGTCACATATTTTTTTATTTCTATATGTCTATATGTATGTGTGTGTATTTATTTCTTATATGTATATTGCATTTATATTCATCTATATTTATACATATATATATGTATGTATGTATACTTGTATTTGTATTTGTATTTATGTATGTATGAATGAATGTATCTATGTATGAATGTATGGTCACGCTCTCCGAGGCTCCTCGGATGCCCCCCCCACCCCTGTGGGGTCTGGGATCCCTCTTCCCCCTGTGGGGTGGTTGTGGGGTTTTGAGGCTTGGGGTTTTGCTTAATCTTTTGAGTTTTGGGTTTACGGTTTAGGGTGAAAAGGTAAAAGGCTTCGAGTCAGGGAGGGTCTGGGGTGTAGGTGCGTTGGGCTTGGCGGTTTATGTTTTGTTTTAGGCTCAGAGCCTGCATTAATCGGAGTTTAGGGTGGAGCATAGGGTTTAAAGTACAGGTTAAGGTGAATACAAACAGGAGCACGCGTTACGTTATAGGATATATGGCTTACGCAACATCCCGGCCCTCTATGTGAACCCTGCCCCCCCCCCCCAGCAGGACCCCACCCCAGCTGCAGCTCCAACAGCCCCGACCCTTCTCTGCACACGCCAGCCCCCCGTCCCGCCCCGCCCCTTCCAGACTACCCCATTGTGGGGGGGTCCGAGGGCGGGAGCGCCAGACATGCGCGCGTGTGTGTGTGTGTGTGTGTGTTGAAGTAAAACAATAAATATACATACATACACGTATGTATGCAAGTGTGTGCAAGTATTTTTGTATGTATACTGATATGAACTGTCTTGACTTCGTTGTCCTGGGAGTTTGGCTTCTTCGC